CTTTTTTTTCTTTTTTCTTTTCTCTTCTGCATTTCCGCTGCCTTGACTGGATGTCTGTCTGCCTCCCTCCTTCTCCCCATATATTTAGTTGTCACTCCTGCATCATTTACCCTATTGTTCTGACACCCGAAGCGAGGGGGAACACAGATCCAAACAAGAATGACTTACTCCTTAGGCTGGCTTTTATAATCTATTTTGATGTTATAAGAGTAGCACAATGTGCTTATCTCTGAGAATTGTTGGATAAATATGCAAGTACCAAATGTCTATTCGTCGTGATATGCCCGTCAGGGCTGTCTTTGCCATATGACGATAGCCCGTCCACAATGGGCGCACCACTATAGCTATGTTGCTTGTATTCAGAATGGTGTATACCTGTATGCGTTTTCCATGTATTGTTCATTTACACAAATAAAGCTGATTTTTGAGTTAAAAACAAAACAAAACAAAAAAAAAACAGGTAAGTGGCTGTGGGTCTCGTCTCCTAATCAAGGTCGAGATCCAATGGTGGTTTTGTAAATATCTGTATAATTCTCTGTGGGTTTCTTATGCTCCTTAATATGTGTCCAAATGGGCATACTAAAATAACGCACTAAATGACACACTTTACAATATCCATTGGCTACCCACCACCGAAATGCAGATGGATCAAAACATCCTCGCTTAAACATAGGTTGCGATAGGAGAGGAAGGGTTGGTAAATATGGTGGCATAAGTGCTGCTGAATATTTAAGGGAATCCCAAATCTTTAAATCATGTTCCACTTGCTGTCCAGAGCAATTTCATAATATTATCAGACACATGATAAAATCTTATTTTTTGTCTAGAAAACAGCCTAAAACCCTCAAACAATTGTACATTTTCTGAAAGCAAAGGCCCTGTAGAATAAAAAAAAAAATGCTAGTTACAATTTTAATTGTCACACGGTATTTGTGCAAATGTTTATCAAACCAGTATTTTTAGGATAACATACACTAAAATTACATTTAGTGCACAGAAACAATATACTACCAAATGTTTTGATAAAATATAAAAGATGGGGTCACGTCGGGTAAATAGATACCAAACATGTCAAGCCTTAAAATTGCGTACACCCATGAAACCCATTTTTTTACATTATGTTATAAAACAACTAATATTACCCACTTTTTTGGTAAAATATAAAAGACGGGGTCACGTCGGGTAAATGGACACCAAACATGTCAAGCTTAAAAATTGCGCGCACTCGCGAAATCGCAAAAAAATAGCATACCCAAAATTGGCCATAGGCGACACTTTAAAAGCTTTTACAGCTCATCAGTTTAGTGTTATCAGTGATTGATGGCCCTAAAATTATTGCTCTCATTCCGACGTTCGCGGCCATATGTAACATGTGCGGCGTAATGGGCGCAATCGTCGTTTTCGCAGGTATGCGCACCTGACGCATGTTTACAAAAAATTTGGGGGGAAACTTTACATTTTTTTCCTATTTTTTTTTCCACTTAACTTTATTGCTATCACAGAGGGGGCAGAGAAACCCCTCTATGTGATAGCAAAATATGTGACAGGTCCTATTTATGGAGACATCAGGGGTCTCTTGTGTTATATTTTTTTAAAAATACCAAAAGAGAAAATAAACACATTATGTGGTTTTGTAGCACCACCAATCTACATTTCACAGCATTAGTGATTTAGCCCACTTATTTTTTTTGTAGGTCAGATTTGTCCAACTGGTCACCTGTAGGATCTTCTTTTGAGGCCTTTGAGATCATAACTATATAGTTGCTAATATTCCCCTATCCTGCTCGACAGTGCCAAAATTTTTAGTGCTGTACAGCACATTGCATCTCTTGGGCTGTCCTGCAGGATTCAGGACACAACAGAATGGCAATGGGATGCCAAGTTCTAGAAGTGAGTCACATGGTCCTCCATACTCATAAGTACCAGATGTTTACTGGTACTCGCTTAAGGTTGAACTCGATGGACTTGTGTCTTTTTTCAACCTGACTAACTATGTAACCAAATGTAGTGACTTGAGCATGGAAAAATGTGCTGCTGGTGTTAAAGCAAACCTTTTGCTTTACTGTGCCTAGGCAGATTTGCTTTAAGAGTCTGGCACAAAAGGAGTTGGGCTACCTGCAGAGTTGAGATGCTTGTTGGAAGACTAGAATATTGACTAGCATATTGCACACATTCATATAAAAATTATGACTTAAACAGGCAAGTTGTATTCACAAATAAGCTAGCAATTGCAACCTACTTCTTTCCCTTTAAATGGCATAAGTGGGTCTACCACTGATGAGCTAAAAGGGTAACACAAAAGCATTGGTAACCATACAAATTATTTATATTGGGTCCTGATTTCAATGCTATCTGTATTTTTGTTTTACTTGTCTATTTCAGATCTCTCCTCCTAATGAGAATGTAATTGTCAAAAACCCTGACAGACCATGGTGGGAAAGATACCAACCAGCCAGCTATAAGATCTGTACTCGCTCTGGAGATGAACATCAATTTAGAGACATGGTCACCAGATGCAACAATGTGGGGGTATGAACTTATTGATTTTTTTTTTCTTTTAAATGGAAAGTGTTACTTTTAAGGGGAGGAGAGGTAGGAGTTGGACAACAGGAAGCTAATTCAGCTTTAGGTGGATGCTGCAGGATCATTTCACCTTTTTAAGCTTCTGACCTTATGGGGACTGTTGCTAACGGATCAAAATATCTTTTAATATTTGAGTGCTATTGGAAATTTTGAGAGCAAATGACAGTGCATTCCATCTGTTCTAAGACATACATTTATTTAAATTTTATTTATTTTTATAGGTTTATATCTATGTTGATGCTGTTATAAACCATATGTGTGGAGCTGGAGCTGGAAAGGGAAATGTATCAACTTGTGGCAGTCCATATGATACAATTAAAAGGGAATTCCCAGCTGTACCTTACAGTAGTGTGGATTTTAATGATAAAAAATGTAAAACTGAGAGTGGTGGCATTGAAAACTATGGGGATGCTAATCAGGTAAAGTACAATTTTACTTAAGCTTTTTTGAGTCTCAGTTAAGGATACAATGTGAATTATTAGGGGTTTTTTTCCCCACAAAAAAAGGAATTATTTTGCTTTTCCCAATAGAGGATGTGTTGATGGCATGTTCTCTAAATGTTTAGAGCCAACATGAGAAGCCAATGGGTCATTGATCTGTTTGCTCTCGATGGAAGGACATATGGACATATTATGTAACTCCCTCTCCTGGATTTGACAGCCTAAAGGTGGATTAATTAATTCAAGAATGACTTGACTTAGAAAATCTATCACTCTAAAACTTTCTCATCAGAATATAAGGAACTCTGTTTTGCTTACTGTTGTCAAAATCAAAAGGATCTCCTGTAAATATTTCAATAAAAGTGTAAATTTTAAATATAACAGCTGCTGTTGCTGGCATGTGTCATGGTGGAGCTGATTCTAACTTCACTTCCTGTAACAAAAATTTTGGAAAGAAATTGGGAATTTTAAACTTTTCTGAGTACAATGACTGCATTCTTCAAAGTCCTTAAAACACTTACAATTATCACAAGCTTCAATCACATTGGTGAACAATCTCTGGTGTGTATCTTACACTAGTCAGTAATGGTGTGTGGGGGCTTGGTGCAAACCCATTTCGCCAGAGTCTGCCAAGCCTGTGCAAAACTGTCACTGACACACCTCCTGTTTTGCCTCCCCAGTGTAAGCATTGTACGTGTGATTTCTGTAACTTACAGTTGTGGCAAGATGGCATTATCTCTCAATCTCGGTAGTGTTGGCACAGTGACCCAATCCAGATGACACCTTAAAGATCTTGAGAAGTTTATCCAAACTGTGAAGATTTTTACTTGGTAATTTCAAGACTGTAAATTATTAACTGAGAAGTAGAGGGTCAGTGAAAAGCACTCATCCCCATAACTCATACCGGTAATCGCTGACTTCCTTATCCTCTCACTGTATAGAGTAGTGACTGTCAGTCACCTATCCCTGCATGGATTCCCCCCTTTCCCTCTGTTTCTTCAGCCCTGACTGGAGAAACGGTGTGTGTGTGGGGGGGGGGGGGGGGCCCCACCTGGCCCTCCCCCT